TTAAAAAATAAATACAAAATATATAAAGGTTCTAATAGATTTAAAAGTACTATAAACATGATAAAACAGATAGTAAAATCGATAATTTATGTAATATTTTCAGCAGAATTTAATCTAGTCTAATTTAATTTAAGAATTTAAGTCTAGTCTGGCTGCTTCTTAAGGCTAATTTGGCCTATAGACAATACAGCTTCAAACTTTAAATAGTCGATTTTAAACGAAATTTAAAAGGTTAATTTTGTTATCACAAAAATAAAATTTACAGTTTGGTCGTTTCCACAGACCTTAAGAAGAAATTTAAAATAAAAAATAAATTTAAAAAAGCATCTCACTGATCTTTATTAAGCCAGTAATCACGGGACTTCGCGAACCTGGATGTGACCACCTGGTGCACTTTCCAACCTCCATGAACTTACTTTCTTCCTCCATGGCTTTAAATATTGAAAATGCTTTCTTCTCGATCCGTTAGCAGATGAAAACAGTATTTCATTGCTGAATTTTTCTATGTACTTTTGAAATATAATTGAGCCCAGTGTAAAATACGATTCAACCGCCAACATCGAAAAAACTGTCCAAGGGTACCCATCATTGAAGATGGCGGGAAGCCAAAACACGTCTGGCAGACAACAAAGCGAAGTTAGGTAGACCAAAATGATCGGTAAAACGCAATTACAGGTCCATCGCCACGCTGTTTACACGAAAAAAACCTTATAAAATGTACTTGGTTTATTTAAAAAGTGCAAATATGAGCCTGAAAAATAGCTGGATGGTTAGGAATTAAAAATTAAATTACGAAACCTTGAATGGACAGGTATTCGAGTTTCAGCAAGGGATCGCTTTTTAAAAACATAAACCAGATATTCGAAAGGTGATTTTTTTAAAATTAATACACCAAGATGCAAAACAATCTGCAGGATTAGGGCAAATCATGCAATTTGTAAATAATTTTTAAAGGATTAAAGTTTGGAACTTTGATGATTTGTTCTGTTTATTCAAGAGGAAGGAAAATTCTTTTTGGTAAAACCCTCGCTGGTTTTGTCTGCCAGACGGACTTCGGCATCTCTCATCTTTAGTGTGTCTGACAGTCCTGATCTACCTATATTTTCAAAATATAAATGACCCATTGTCAAATTCTTCCTTGGTCCAAGCACCACTTAAATATGGAAATTCTTGCTAAAGTATACATGCCCTAGGTTATATAATATATTCCATGTTCAAAGATTCGTTCCACTGAAGACGGCGAGAAGCCGAAACGTCTGACAGCCCGAAAAAGCAGTTAGAGAAGTTAGGCAGACCTCCGCGCAAAAACCGACAAAAATTCAATTCCAGCAGGCGTTACGAGAGGAAATCTCATAAATATGTTTTGTTGTGACAGCCAGTTTTATTTCCAACTAGGAAAATAAAATATCTAATGAAGCTTTAAAATGGAGATAATTGACCAAATCCATACACCCAACGATTTATCGAAGGATCGATGGTTATCCATTTTACTCAAGAATTAACATTTGCCTAAAAATTAGAGTAATAAATATTTCATTTGTTTCGGCATACACCAGTTTTATTTATTTAAAATATATCCGACATTATGAAATTGTTCAAACTGGATTAGGTAAACACTACGCCGGACAGATGTTGGGTACCGACGTTCCCGTCGAAAGGATGGAACCCGATACCTCGTTCGGAGGCACGCTCAATTAGCTCTTCGTTCGCTCAACTAGACCACAATTAAAAGCCCGGGGGATTTCGACAAAGCCCTTCGGTTATCTGGCGAAAACATCCTCTCGTCTTACCATTATTCAACAACGAGACGGACTTTTAACAAGCTACACCGCATATTTTTTGTTTGTTCTAAGCATGAACACTAACGGGGGCAAAGTTGAACAAAACGTTTTTTCCTGTCCAAATTGGTTTAAGACGTAAATATCAAAATGTTATTTGAATTACCGAGTTTTACAAACAAGGTTTAAGATGTAAATTTACTAGATGAACCTATTTCATCCTGACCCGCTGAAAATTCTTAATTACAGAAACGTTTCTGGTTTGAGATAGCCACGCAGAAAGAACATGGATTTAATTTTCAATAAGGAGAATCTTGAAAAATGTTTATCTCAACTTTACATCCATAAAAGATAAAGCCCAGAAAAAAAATGGTAAGCTGAACCTTATTATCTACTGAGTGGGTTATAAGAATTTGGATTTAATTTTCTAAAGAGAGAACCATGAAAAATTTAATAAATGGCTTATTGAACCTTATATTCCTAAGTAATTTACACTTGGCTGGTGAAAATTCTTAGTTACAGAAAAGTTACATGATTAAAATAGACAAAAAAAAATCTTGGAGTTAATTTTCTATAGAGAGAATCTTGATAAATCTTAATCTGAGCTTTACAGTTATAAAATATAAATGCTAGAAGGAAAATACATTCAACTTTATCATGGTTCTAAGTAGTTTATATTTGGCTGGTGAAAATTCCTAGTTTCAGAAAAGTTTCATGATTAAAATAGACAAAATATCTTGGAGAGAATTTCTTTCTATAGAGAGAATCTTGAAAAATCTTAATCTGAACTTTGTAGTTATAAACCACACATGCCCGAAAGAACCTTATCATTTACCAAATAGTTTATACTTAATTGCTGAAAATTCATAGGTGCAGAAAAGTAGTTATAATAGACAACGCAGAAAGAATTTGGATTTAATTTTCTACGCAGCAAACCTTGAAAAACGTCTTTATGAGCTTAATAGCTTATAAAACAAAAGGCCAGAAGAAAAATCCAACTTGTTATGTTCCTAAGTAGTTCATACTTAGCTGCTGAAAATTCTTATTCTTTTGTGATTGATATAAATAAACAAAAAAACTTGGATTTAATTTTCTATAGAGAGAATCTTGATACTTGTGCCTTTTTTAACAAGATAAAATGTTAATCTTATATAGTTTTAAAAGAGAAAAGGGCCAGAAATAAAAAATATAAAATTATAGAAATTGAGTACTGCAGACGCAGAACTTAACCGAACGATTCACTCCGCAACACAACTGGTTGTATTAAAAGAGTAAACAAAAGAGGAAAAAATTCCCTTGAATCCAATAAAAGTACCACAGTTAGGATTGGAAAACAAGTCCTACAAACACTCACATCCGAGGAACGAAACCTGGACAAATATGGACATAATTAAACTTCGCTGGCGGGGAGGGTGGCCCAACAGATGTTTTTCTCTGTATCACTCGGCCCGATTAGTCAACCCCTTTCGAACACAGCTTTCAAAATCGGGATTACGTCAAAAGTAAAGAGCTTGGAAGTCCCACCCCCACAGTTATTCATTTCACGTTGTTATCTTTCTAACATTGACATAATTATATACGTTTGGGGTGTGATTTAAAAAACATCGGGGTTCTGCTGGAAAAACTGGAATGTCCGATTTTGACAATTGTTTGTGCAATTTATCAGCAGATTCATATCAAAGACAGAACAGAAGCCAAAGTTTTCAAAGTGTTCATACACTGACAGGCAAAAAATTCCACCCACCTGCAGTATAACTTGATTTGTATATATTTTTGTATATTAAACAAAGATTCGTTTTGTAACGTTCAATAATTGAGTCTTTGTCTAAAATTGCTAAAAAATATATATATTCTTCATGAAGAGACCTTTCAAGATCGTAGAGTGTATGAAGAAGTGATGGACGTGCTCTTATTCGTCCTTTGAGGTTATCCCATAAATGTTCGATGGGGTTCAAGTCTGGCTAAGACCCTAATGTTATGCTGTTGAAGGTACGTTTATACTATGCGTGTGACATGTGGACGGGCATTATCGTGCATTAGAATAGGATTGTCGCTGATTTCATTTTCTTTTCATTTCCAAAATTTCATCCAAAGAGCGAGTGGCCATCAAAGACCCTCCACGAACAACTGCCAATTCCCGCCCTCATCTCCGAGCTACGTTGCAAAGTTTAGCTCTGGCAAAAATTCCAGGCTTCGTACCTTCTCCACTCTTTCTCGCCCTTTGGAGATCGTAGAGCAAATCTACATTCATCTGTAAAAAGTTCAGCAGACCAATCGTCCAAAGACCAATGGCTGTGTTCTTGAGCAAATGCTAACCGTCGGACTCTGTGTGTTCTGGTCAATTTTGGTCCTCTTACGGAGCGGAGTCCCTACTGATCTAATCTTCTTCGAGCAGTGCGTTCAGAAATTTGGACACCTTGAACTTCCGGGAGCTGATGAATCGCTTGAACAACAGTGAGGTGCCGGATTCGCAAAATTCTCAACGTCAAAAAACGGTAATCCTGTGGTTCTGTTACCCTACTAGGGCGTCCAGAACCGTCTAGGGTAGGACCCAGTTTCTCGAAAGCGTCTAACGGCTTCTCCCAGAGTTTCGTAGGAAACGCCGATGGCAATAGCCGCATACCTGATGGAACTTCTATCATCAATAAGAGCCACACCACGAGCAACATCCTCAGCACTAAGAGGCATTTTTAAGTTTAAAGTAGTAAGTAGTAAAAATTGAAAATAAAGCTGAAAACTAGTTCATTGCTTCAGAAGTCAAATGAGACTGAATAAACATTTCAAATTCAGTAAAAAGTAAACATTGAAAAATCCTCTATTCTTGTTTTGGATGTGTTTACCACTGATTGGCATTCCCAATTGAAAACATAGCATAAACAAATATTTATTGATAAAAACAATGAGAAAATTAAGGGCAGAATTTTCTTTTATAGAGAAAATGACAAAAAAATCAATTGGGTGGAATTTTTTGCCTGTCAGTGTATGAGCATTATAAAAACCTTGGCTTCAGTTCTGTGTTTGATACGAATCCGCTGATAAATGAAAATGACAAAAAATCAATTGGGTTGAATTTTTTGCCTGTCAGTGTATGAACACTATAAAAACCTTGGCTTCAGTCCTGTGTTTGATACGAATCTGCTGATAAATGAAAATGACAAAAAATGAATTGGGTGGACTTTTTTGCCTGTCAGTGTATATCGAGAAGATACTTTTTTTTCTAACCGTTGTGATTTATTTATTTCTGGGTAGTTTCTCGCATTCCATCTGGAACAAAGAAAAGAAGCACGATTACAGGAAATTGTAAAACGAGAATAAAACAAGAATCATTTTTTACGTTTACGCGTTTTGGCTAGCAGAAGGCCATCACTTATCAATTTTCCGTTAGGCAGAGGCTCATTTTTTTAGTTTACATGTGGCATAACCTATTTTTTACCTTACGGTCGGTGTATTAGTAATGAAAGATTGTTTAGAAATGGGCTATCCAAATTTGAAGTATTAAATTTGTTTGCAACATGGAATAGATTCACATCTTAATTGTTGAAAGGAATCCCCTTCCAGAGCAAATTCAATAAGCTACAAGTTGGATTGAAAAAAAGTTATTAACATGAAAGGAGTCGTAATTCAGCTGGAGGGTATCTGGTAGATGAAAGAGTTCTTTCACGCTGAGCCTATTGACTGTAGTAACTAGAAATGTCAACAGGAGCGAGTGGAGCGTAAAAACTACGACGGCTCGTTGTAAATTGCCGGTTCGGTGAATAGTTACAGAGGGTCCTAATTGTAAGAGAAACGGTTGCATTTAGATCAGCACCCCGTTTATTCGAAGGCCGGGAACGTGTAATTGATTGTCAAACACGGACCTTTTTGCCGTTGTAAGCGACACCACTGTCTCCGCATAATAGTCAATCTTGTAATAGCTATTATATTTTCGATCGCCGAGATCATATCGTGTGTCCGCCCATATGCTCTTATTGTCCCGTATCATGACCATTATGTTGTCAGGGCTCGGGGCAGAGTAACAAAGGCGGCTAAGCCCCGTTGTAACGCGATACCCTTCAGCCAGGGGCGCCGCCTCTTCCGAACAACCCGATAGCATCCCGCATCCCATCTTTTTACCTATCAGGACTCAAATCCGGCCGGCGGGATTATTTTCGTATAAACCGGTCTTTCGGCTCGTCACTTCACTTTAGTGTTATCCAGGTTTAGATCTACGAAGTTACGCGGAGATTCTTAATCCACGTTGCTCGATCATTCGTCGTAAAACAACTTTTCACACCAAAATTATCTATTTGATGACAAATGATGGTCAACCCACTTACGTATTTGTTGAAGTTTGAAAACAAACTTGTATAATATGTCCAAAAATAAATAAAGGTTCAACTGCTCCTACTCCAAGATACATTCTATGGAACCTTTTCCATACATTGTAATATCTTTTTTAATATCTTCTAATGACTGAGAAATGCCACAAACATTTTCACTTAAATTGGCAACCCATTGTTCCATTGAACAACTCGTTCTAGAAATAATCTCCATTTTGCAATAATAGAGTCAGTGATGTAGAGGAAAGAATCTCTTCGGACGGTGTATGTGGTACGTCCTTATAAGTCAGCTAATTAAAACTTATAAAAGGGTTACAGACCAATCACTGTACAAGGTGAAATGTCGATCACAGGTAAGACCAGCCAGAACAGATTGAGCAGGACCACACTGTTTAACAAAACGGTATGTCTTCGGACAAAATATTACAAGAAGAAGGTGACACACCCTTATGGTTGCCCAGCCATTAGAACCTATACAAAGGACATAACCAAAAGGAAACGAACAGACAAACCATAGATGATAGATAAAATGCCAAAACGCGTTTTACAGGTACAATTAACGAGAAAGGGCAAACCAGGATAATCAAGGGATCAAAGAACAAATGGGATATATTATAACTATCAACTTGAGTGGTATGATCAAAAATCCTTTTTGTTTTAAATTCACTAATTTCGTGGTCCGCTTGACCAATTAATATATTACAATTAATTAAGTTTTTAGTTGAGATAAAAAAGTCAATGGCACGAGGGGGATTCGAACCCACGATCTTCGGCTAGAGACGCCGCTGCTCTACCACTTGAGCTATCGTGACCTCGATCCACTCGGACACTAACTTCCCATCTCAACCCCACCTTTTGAATCTGCCCTCCTTTTTGCCATTTTTCAATTCCTTTTGTTTTAAGTTGGTCAAAAATGATGATCGTTTTTCTATTTTTATTTTTATAGGTTTTTGCCATTACTTGTTAAAGTCTCTAAACCCCTGTAGAGTAGATTTTTTTCCACCAGGGTTCGCAACAGCAGCGGAGGTCTTATAAACCCTCAGGGTGCCGGTGTGCAGGGCAGGTCTGTGCTGTTTTCTGTGTGCATGTCCTTTTTTTTGACTGGAAGGGAAGCTAAGCGCGGAAAGATGAGAGCCGGAAAGTATATCCTCATACAATGGGCAGAACATTGGAACGAAAGTCCTCACATTATCGAGGAATTTCCCTGTTGAGTATGGTCTTGTTGTTGTTGTTTTTATTTAATGTTTTTACGAGGGTTTGCAACAGCAGACATCATATCAACACACAGGGTGCGGTTTTTTTTTTAGAAAATACCCATTGTGCATTTTCATACTTAAGTACGTCGGGTTCGAATGCAGGGTCGCTGGATTCGAACCCGGGACCTTTACCTTACAGTGATTAGCGCTGTGTCAACGCCTAAACCGTTGCGGTCACCGACGCCCCCCTGTTTAGTTTAGTTTATTATTTTAGATTTAAGGAAGAAAAACGCATAGTACTACTTTGTTTTAAACTTTTTTTTTCATTTCATTTAATTTTTTTCATTCGTTATTATATGATACAATATTGTTTGTTTTCAACATTTAGTTTTTGTTTTATTACTTTTAGCTCTTACGTTTTTGTCGTTTTATTCTTATTACGTTGTTGTAAAAATGATCATGTGTTTTGGAAAAAGTGTTACATTTAATAAATAAATAAATATTTTTGATGTGGGAAAAAGTCGTAGAATCATATTCATTGAAGTAAAAAAGGCCACTTCACAACAAGTATTTTTGATAAAGTATATAATTAAGTACTACCCCTACTTCAACATGAGTCATTCACTTTTAAATTTCTGTTTAAGATAGTATTTTTTATGTAAACAAATTTTGATTATGCAAATCATATTTTTGCGTTATACAGACCCACTAGAACATTGAATTCACAAAAAGTAGTAAAAATAGAAATTGTATTACTTTGTTCTTTTTGTTTAACAATTTGGTCAACGAGTTACCGTAAATTCTATGATGTTAAGGGTCATAAATCCGTTTACAGAATGATAAAAATCGGAGCCATATAGAAATAAATTTGGATGAAGATACTGCAGAGGGTGAATTTAGCATTAATGAAGTAGAGGTTGTCAGTGTGCATGTTTTGATAATGTGATGATCGATGACGTGCGTTTGAATTTTAATTTTGATGTTTGCATGTTTCATGTTGTTTAGTTTTTGGATTAAGATTTGAATCTTTGTGTACCTTATAGTATATTAGTTACTTTTTTTTGTGACTTCAACTATTTCTTCTTCTAATTGTTAAATCATCAATAATACACAGGCTGTATTCAAGAGGTTCTAGCTTATGTCATCACAGTCAAGCATTTTTGTTTAGCCTATTGTAAAACTGAGTACACGAAAGAAGCCTCAAGTTATTTAGTACCAAGACTATGCAGATTTGGCCAACCTCGGAATCCAATTTGTCATCTGACTTTCTTAAGAGCACCGGAGGGTAATTTTCCTCCGAGTCCAAAATTACATATTGACTTTAAAACCGGCAGAGCGCTTAAATGAGAGCCTCCTCCACCCCCAACAATTTCTGTTGTATAATTACCGCACTGGGTACGGGGGTTGAGTTTATCTAATTAGAGAGAAGGTAAAGTAAGAGTCAAGTTAACATGCTAAGTAGTGGAGTAAGGGGCGGGGGCCGACAGTTAACAAAGTCTGTTACAGTTAACAAGGTGAATGCTATTAGCTCTGAGGAGCTGCCGTAATGCGTTTAAGAGCAATCGCTCCTTTATACACCGACCGCAACTATTTGCGAAGGGGGGGGGCAATCGAATTTGAACCGGTTATGAACCTCGGCTGGAAACAACTATCCACGTTTTAACATGCCCTAATTCGATCATTCTCATAAAACTGCGATGTTTAACGAAGAAAACGACTTACAGAAAATGCAAGTTTCTAAATATTATTCAGAAATCGTGAGATGCTGTCTGGTGTGATGTAGGTTTCAGAAAAGCGTTTTCTTTACTGTGCCAACGTTTCGATCTTTATTGAGATCATCTTCAGGGCCTGGGATTTACAAACATTGTTTCAATTTAACAAATACATATAAGATGTGGAAAAAAATGAATTTATACAAACTAAAATATTTTTTTTTAATATTCAATCAAAGTATTTCTACTCACTCAAAGCGTTTGTTTTCTGTATAATTGTGCCATTCTTGCGTGTCGTGATGAGAGTGGCAGTGAGATATTGCTGTTTTATGTTGGATGGATAAGTTGGATTTTGAAGGACTTCTTACAAAAAAATGTCTTTCTATACCGCCTTCCTTCCCTACCCATTCAAAATCCAACGTATATAAACATAAAACAGCAATATCTCACTGGCACTCTCAACACGACACGCAAGAATGGCACAATTACACAGAAAACAAACACTTTGAGTGAGTAGAAATACTTTAATTGAATATAAAAAATATTAGTATAAATTCACTTTTTTCCACATCCTACGTGTATTTGTTAAATTTAATCAATGTCTGTAAATCCCAGGCCCTGAAGATGATCTCAATAAAGATCGAAACGTTGGAACGATAAAGAAAAAGTTTTTCTCAAACCTACATCACACCAGACCGCATCTCACGATTTCTGAATAATCATCGACTAACGGTCACTAATCACCACACATTTCTAAATATTGAGAAAAAAGTGTAGAAGACCAAATGCAAAGTAGAGGATCAAGGTGTACTTCAGACTTAAGAAGTGACACATCCTTTATCCTGAGTTTCCTATTCAAGTCCAGTACCTACTTATTAATTACAAAGTCTATGAATAAATATCATGTTGGTTTATTTACCTTTACCTTCATTCTGCCTAAGAATACCTTCATTTCAGGAAATTACCCACCCACAGAAGAAAATATAAGTATAATTCCTTTTTGCGCCGAATTAAAAGTAGATGCATTTTGAACTTAT